TAAAGAAAGAAAGAAAGAAAGAAAGAAAGAAAGGAAGAAAGAAAGAAAGAAAGAAAGAAAGGAATAAAAGTATTCGGAAAAGGTAAAGACTATAACATCGGAATAAGCCGAAAAAGCGTCATACGCAGATTTCACAGACGACAAGTGACCTCTTCCAACCTTCCTCAGTCAACGACCGTCCCTGCAAACCCCCGCCAATCCACGCACAAAACCGTAGAGCCGACAACACCGCACCCCGTCTCGGCCTCTGTCGGTCCGACACAACTCGACCGACGTCAGTCGTCAAGAAGGCTTCGACGCGATTACGTGAACGCAGCGCGCGCCAACGAAAAACAAACGAACGTCGGCCACAACAAACAGTGCGTGGTGCCCCGGCACAGTCATCATAACGAGAGTAACAAGTAAAGTGTGCGCGAAAATACCGACCGTGGCCCCCAGATGCTCGGCCGCCACAGCCTGCTCGATGTTCATGTTCCGCAGCAGGAAGACAAACCTCGTTAGGCGCCTGGCGAAAGCCCGCAAGCGACGGCCGCCCGCGACCGACCACGAAGACAGCGTCCACGGCCTGCTGCGGCGGCTGCAGGACAACCAGCTGGAGATGCTGCTGGCGGCCGTGGAGAGCCGCGGCCGGGACTCGAGCCACTGCGTGCTGGTGGCCCAAAACGGCCAGGTTGGCCGAGAGCCGCACGTGCTGTGCTGTCAGAGTTGGCGGTGGCCGGATCTCAGGCAGGCTGGTGAACTGAGGCGGCTGCCGACTTGCAGGTCGGCTTGCGATCCGGTGTACGTGTGCTGCAACCCTTACCATTGGAGTAGGCTGTGTCAGCCCGGTGAGTATCTCATGGAATGTGGCTCAGATAATGAGATAACTGTGCTCAGAATGTCACCAGGGAGCATTCCTGGTTGCGGGAATTGAAATAATATGCAGGGTAGTTTCTAATAATTTATGTATGTGGCGAGGGGTAAACCGCGGTCAAAATCGTGTGCACAATACTTCAATTTCATAAGGAATTCCAAAAAACTCTAAGAAATTCCAAGAAATTACAAGAAAATCCAAGGAATTTCAAGGAAATACAAAGAATTCGAAAGAAACCTAAGGAATTCCACTCGGAATTCCAGTTGTTTCTCGAGTTGTTTGCACACCAACATTATACCGCACTTCAGCTAAAGATTTCCAAGGAAATCCAAGGAATTCCAATAAGGAAATCCAGGGAATTCCAAGGAGATCCAGTAGTTTTTACATCAGAATTCCACTGCGGTTTACCCGGGTTTACTTACCCCTCGGTATGTGGTACCTGTCTCCTCGCCTATCTCTATTTCCAGAATGGTGAACCGTGAATGGAGTAAAGTTTCTCGGTTTACCTATGCAAAGTTAGTTGAAACAACACATCGGAAACCGCGGGTTGTCGGTCCCTTTGAAGGTTCAAAGAGAGCGGCAGCGCGGTTTGAGATTCATTTGATGATCTGTATCAACCTCGGAATCAACTGATTTTGCATCTTGCATGAACATACCTACAAGTGTATATTTTCCCAATAATGAAGTTGTGAGGTCCGAGGAGAAGTGCTTATTTAGGTTCCTCGAGATTATATATATATCGTGGCGGTGATCTGGGGAGACAGAACTAGTCGAGCCTCCATAAAGGTCTCCATAAAGGCTATTTTTACGAAAATTCATAGTTTAGCATGTGTATGCATTACCCGGCGGCAGTACCGGTGAAAATGAGAACGTGTCTTACTGCTGCAATGACCAATGAAGGCGATTCCTCGGTTGAATCTGAACTAATGGGTTAGAAAACATGAGAAAATAATGTCAAACATTAACGTAGAAAATACGTTGATGTGACGTTGATATAAGTCAAGGGATAAAACATGAAATTGTGACAATGGTCAATGAGCAAAGGCAAGAACTCGGCATAGACTAACAGCGATGCCAATAGCCGAGGCAATAGCTAAGATTAACAACCGAGTTAATGTATGTGGTGATAGAGGGGGATACAAGTAGGGAAGATGAGCTAAACCGAAAAAAAATAATTATCTCAGAAAATGCAGTAAAATGGAAGGTTGAGACCAAGGTTGAGACCAATGTGAGTAGGTAAACTCGAGGGTGAACTAACGGCGATTAAAATCTGAGTTGAAATCCAGATAATTGAAAACTTCAATGCAGTCAAAATGCTGTGTTTGCCCATTGAGAGACAAGACATAATTATCATTTATGAAAGAATTAATTTAAAAAAAAAATACGTTTTTGACACTGACACAGACATGCAGAATTCTAAAATTATGGTGTCACCAATGGCGTAGGTGATAGGAGTCCTTTGCAGTTTGAAAATTCCAAATTATTTACTTCTGTCGTGCATCATGCAGAAATAAATACATGGTGGAGCCCCTCCAGTTCGGAATTTTAATTACGACACTGAAAACCGAGGTGAAAACCATTGTGAGAGACCCTCGTATTGACCCAATGTCGGAACCAATGAACCAATAAACAATTCACATTCTTATATAATAATAATAATAATAATATAATAATAATAATAATAATAATAATAATAATAAACGCTTTCATTGGTAGAAACAAGAATAAATGTACAAAATAGTGACAAAAATGTGTACCTATACATTTCTACCAAAGGGCAGAGTTAGCTTTTGTCTGCCTAAAGGAACAGACAAGTGCTTTCTTCCACTCAACCTCTGACTCAACCTTTACTAGGAAATAACAAGAATCAAATAAAAAGAACAAAATACATGAAAATTCATCGAATTCATATCCAGCAAAATATTTTACGCTTCATTTAACTACAACCAAGATTGACACGTGACCAGAAAGTGATTTTGGACTTGTTACAACTGCAATTTACAAGTTGAAAGCAGTTTGTTCATACGACTTTTACAAAAATATGTAGGTCCTTCCTCTGAACAATACTTTTTTTCAATATTTGAATCATTGATGTGCTATTTACCCTCGTATTTAACTTACAATAGCCAGTCGGAATTGTCATACACTTTTTTTTTTGAACGCCGAGATGAACACATGGGTATTTGTTTAAACTAAAACTACAGTATAGCCGTATAGCCACAAATATTTTAGTCAAGATTACAGGAGTTACCTTATTGGAGAACAATTTGTACACGTTTGCATTTATTCAATTTGGTCTAGTTTATTGAAGTTTCAGGAAAGTTTTCAACTTTTTCTTGAATATCATTATTGGAGAACATTTTTTATGGGAAGGCAGCTTATTGTACAAAGTGATACCCCCTCGGATACCCCTGATAAATATTGAGTTTTGACCAGGGGCTGTAGAGAACCACATATTTCCAAATCACTGTTACGCGCTGTTACGTCTTATGCTCTTGGTCTTCGGGAATATAATTTCTTCTTATTCTTAACCGATGTGAAGCTAGCAGCCATTTCCTAGCGGCCAGTTTTCACCTAGCAGCCAAACCACCAGTGGCGTCAGATTTTTAGAAACATATATTTTAATCCACCTTTATCATGAAAAGAGGATATTTAATGGAAAGTACATGTTTCTGTGCTTGAGAAATGACATACAGAGATGATTTAGACTAATTTAGACTGACTAAGAAATCATGAGCCTACCTAAGTAATTCGACGTTCAAAAATGTTAAGCCATGTTGTAATTCAGTACCAGCGTTACTAAAAAGATCTAGAATGATGTGTGAGAAGATGATCGATGAGCAGGCCGTCATAGGGGAAGTTATCACCCCTCGAAATATTAATAAAAATCATAATTCGCGAGATTCACGAAGTGGACGACATCTAGGTTACATAATACGAACTTCAAACTGGGGGAAAACAAACTGTTGTCTATGGATAAAGTCGAGGATAAAGTGCATAGACTACATTGCATTCAGCTTGCTCTGTAGTCAAACTTGTCAATGACATAAAGTGTTGGCACTGTTGGTAGTGATAAGGATGTAGTGATGATGGTTGGGTTGGTTAATTTTTTTACATTATTACATTTTTATTATTTTAGTGAACAGTGAACGGGTGAAGAATTGGAGATAGTTCAAACAATTCAAAATAATTATGACGAGCAAATAACATATGAAAGAACAGCTACAACATGTTTACAATACCCAGATCGTCCTGCTTTGTATGAACAAATACAAATCCATTGTTCTACAGGAGTTCCTCTGGACCCCAACTTCAATTTTACTTCATGTGGGGAAGATTTCATCGCCGAAGTTTGTAGACAAAGTGCAAAAATGTGCCTTTTGTTGAAGTCATATGATTAGCACGGAGAACTGCTTCTCCTTCCACTCTGGTCGGCTTTTTCCATCTAAATAGAGCAAAATATCTGCCAAAAGAACATCTACAACAGGCATTATTAGCGTTTTCGATGGAATATTGACAATTAATGTCAAGAAATTTAAAAACTTATCACTCTTATCAGTACACAGTACACAAGCTAATGGCACTAATGGGATTGAGTGAGGATTGAGTTTGTTTTCCCCCAGTTTTGACGTGGCTTTGACATGGAACGATGAAAACCGAGCGCCACCTGGTAACATTGATTCCCGCGAATATACCTTCAAAAATGTTTAGCCACGTTGAAATGCGGTACAAGCATTACTAAAGAGCCCTAGAATGATGTGTGCGAAGATGATTGATTGGCAGGCCGTCTGAGGGGTAGTCATCACTAGGGATGCACCGGGTACCGGGTAGCGATTTTACTAAATATAAACTATTGCAGCACAAGACACGCCCACCATAATACGTCATATCTCATACTGTGCTCCAACGCAAGAACTGAAGCTTTCTCGTTGTCAATCTCTTGTACGCAGTAAATTCATACACCGAGTCATACACCCAAATGGTCTACTGGTTAGCGCTGTCGACTCTCAGTCTGAAGGTTCATGGTTCGAATCGCTGTGAACTCGAACTTTTTTTTGCAACTTTTTTTTTTCACCAATGTTTTTTTACTTCATTCTGGTTTTCCTTTTTCATAAAATATTTGAAGTCAAATAGTTCAGTGCGATTAGGATGAACAGTCTCATTTTATTCAATTTTGTTGAAGAACTCAACTTTTGAAATATATTATTAATCAATGTGTTTCTACACTCCATTCGGTTTTCCTTCCTCAAAAATATTGCAATCAGGGATAGGTTAGTTCGTTGAGGATAAATAGTCTCTGAGTTTTGCCTAAGTAAAGTACTTTGAAGATGAGATATAACGTGGTATGTGCTACTTTTTCAATCGATTTATTTATATGAATCAGCTACGTTGTGCTGTCAAAGATTAGATTTTGCAGGATTGTGCTGGGCTCGATTATATTTTGCAATGCCGTAGTAGGGGGCGTGTCTTGTGCTGCAATAGTTTATATTTAGTAAAATCGCCACCGGGTACCGGGTATTACCCGGTACCCGGCTTCGCTTTGGATACCCGGCGGGGTATTTTTTTCGGAATAAACGGTGGTCAAGACGAAAACTAAAAGGCTCGGGAACATAAATATATTAATAACACAAATAACATTCTCACTAGAACCCAAAACAAAAAATCGTGATAAAACTAATATTCAAAATTAAGGAGTGGTAAATTGTCATTATGCATGGTTTTTATTGATGTTTCAAAGAATAACGTTCGTCGGCATTGTGGATTAGTGCAATATAGATATTAGGAGAAAGATATGATGGAATATAGAAACTACACGACAGCTTCAATGCACTTATTTGGTTGATAATACCCGGCCGCCGGGTATCCGTTACCCGGCCTACCTTTAAAATCGGGTACCCGATACCCGGCTTTTTCAGAAAACAGTTCCCGGTGCATCCCTAGTCATCACCCCTCAAGAGATGAAAAAAATCATAATATAATATATACCTTCAAGGCTGCTAGATGAAAACTGGCCGCTAGGAAATTGCTGCTAGCTTCACACCGGTTTTTTTCGACCAGCGTGAAAGCAGCCACGACTCCGTTGAAATTTTAGGGCGCGCTACATAACACCAACGGTAGTCAAATATTAAAAACGTGGCTGGCCAGCCACAAAATATCTAAAGCGGTTCGAATTTGCTTGACACAGATTTTTTTTATCACATTCAGTGTGTATGAATAAGATTGAATAAGAACACACAATATTTTGCTTGGTATGATTTTTCTCATATTATTCCACCTCTCAGACTTACGAAAAAAACGATAAATTCCAAACTTTGAAAAATTATGACTCTCTTAAGGGAAGATATATCATTGATTTTCGTTCGAGAATATACAGTGTGTATGACGGTGAATAAGATCTATATCATGCAATATTTAGCCGGACAACATTTTTCCCGAAATCGACTACTCAAACTCGCGAAGAAATCGATAAATCTGAATCTTTGAAAAATCATAACTCTCTTAATAGACCGGTTCTTAATAGACGATATATCATCGATTTTTTCTCGAGGATATACAGTGTGTATGACGGTGAATAAGATCTATATCATGCAATATTTAGCCGGACAACATTTTTCCCGAAATCGACTACTCAAACTCGCGAAGAAATCGATAAATCTGAATCTTTGAAAAATCATAGCTCTCTTAATAGACGATATATCATCGATTTTTTCTCGAGGATATACAGTGTGTTTGATGGTGAATAAGATCTATATCATGCAATATTTTGCCGGCCAAGATTTTTCCAGAAATCGACTAGGTACTCAAACTCGCGAAGAAATCGATAAATCTGGAACTTTGAAAAATCATAGCTCTCTTAATAGTCCATATATCACTGAGTTTTCTTCGAGGATATACAGTGTGTATGATGGTGAATAAGATCTATAGCATGCAATATTTTGCCGGCCAAGATTCTTCCCGAAATCGACTACTCAAACTCGCGAAGAAATCGATAAATCTGAAACTTTGAAAAATCATAGCTCTCTTAATAGACGATATATCATTGATTTTTCTTCAAGGATTCACAGTGTGTATGATGGTGAATGAGATCTATATCATGCAATATTTTGCCGGCCAAGATTTTTCCCAAAATCGACTACTCAAACTAGCGATGAAATCGATAAATCTGAAACTTTGAAAAATCATAGCTCTGTTGAGTTGTGGATGGAAGACGTGGCTGCTTTCGTGCTGGTTTTTTTTCGTACAATTTTTGGCTATTAATGTTGATTCCATGGTGTAACCTAAGCTTGGCCTCCCATATCGTGTTTCTGTTTCTCTTGATCAGATGACGAGCTCCGTTCATTTATTCGCTGTCGACGTTATAATCTATCGCTTTCTGTTCTGTAATGCAATGTTTTCGGCCGCTTATTTGAATAGAAACTGGAATGAATTGATCACAGGCTCAGTCTTCAATCTAGAAGGTCAGGCTAATTAATTGTGAAAATCATTTTGTATTAAGTACCCATTTTTCGTTGGCTTATATACAGTGTGATCAATTTTCGTAGCTTTCAAGTAATTTATCAGTCAATAAAGTTATTTGGAATAATCGTTTGATATCAAAATCTGTGGTTTCCTCGGGTTTCCTATTCCAACTCTTTGGGATGAAAAAGAAATGATAAATCCGGATGAATCATAGTGCTCTAAGGATTTTGATTCAAAACTTCAAAACTGAAATTTTGTTTAAAATTTGTTTTCAATCTCGACTTCAATCTATCGGAGCCGAAATCGGAACTAAACCATTGAAAAATAGTATAGATATAGATAAACTGTATATTGGTTATGATCTATAAGGCACAGATCCGACTCATCCTGGAATACTGTTCCCATATTTGGAGTGCAGCTCCCAAACATACTCTGAAAGTGTTGGATTCTGTCCAAAAAAGGGCAATTCGTCTCGTGGGTAATGCCTCGCTCACAAACTCACTCACTTCTCTGGAACACCGTAGAAAAGTTGGCGATCTGGCTCTATTTTATAGATATGTAAAGGGTGATGCTCTTCTGAAATATCAACAATTGTTCCTCCCTTGGCAGTGTCCGCGAGATTAGCCCGTGGAGTTGAGGCTTCGCACCCCTTCGTGGTCACTTTGGAGACCTGTATAGGACGTCTCTTTCCAAAGACTCGTTCATCTAGAACACATTGCCAAGGGAGGTGTTCCCCGAGGCATATAACCTCCAGAAATTTAACACTAATTCCTACCTAATTTCCCTTGGTTCTCATGATGTTCTCTGAACATTACAGGATATCCCTTTTCGTGTGGGAACCAGAACATGAATAAAAAATACTCGTGAAAAGGAATATTCTCAGATATATTTATAAACACAAAAAAAAATGATATATACAGTGTGACCCATTCAAAATGGAACCACCCCTGTATCTTACGTAATCGTTGGGTAAGGATCCTGAAATTTCCTGGAGCGAGAGATATATCAAAAATGCACTCTATGACCAAGTGGGGTCATCTTCAGTGGTATACACTGGTCGCCAACAGCCATGAAACTACCTCAATTTTCGGAAAATGATATTAGGACTCAAAATAGGTCGAAAATCACTTCAGATTTGGAATCAGGATGCCCAATTTACTAACTATTCAAATTTATCCTGGGAAATTTTCATTTCGGAAAAATGAAATTTTGTCGCATTTTTTATGGAAGCACCCCCGTATCTCACGTAATTGACTTTATCTTTGGACTTTCTCTTCCTCCGGCTAATTTCAGAACCCTACCTCAATAATTACGTGAGATACGGGCGAGGGGTTGACCCTCGGGTTGACCTCAGCCTGAATAGTGTACGAAAAGTTCCTTTCCTCTGTTTATTTCTTTCATTTCTTTCATTTCCTATTCATTCCCCGAAAATTCCTCCATTTCCTCCTTAACTCCTCGCATTTCCCCAAACTGCCTCTATTTCCCATGCATTTCCTTCATTCACAATTTATTTCGTAAACATTCCTCTAATTCTTCGCATTTCCCTAGATTCCATTTCCCTTTTGTTTCCTTTCATTCAAAAAGACCAAAATCAGAGGTCAAGGGCGCACTTAATCAAATAAATTTCCTAATGAAGTAATGTCATCCATTACCGTTTCATAGGTATATTCTGAAAATTATTCAAGAATCTGTTTTGAGTTTGAAGGATTTGCCATGGATTCATCAAGTAACGGCCGAGTCAATTCAAAACATAATAATAATGTTTCTTGGAAAAAGAAAAATGGTTATTCTCGGTTATTCTTGCAATTATCACAAACACTCGGAATGGTCGTCTTTATCTCTCTTTATTCCTTTGAAAATTCCGACCTACAATCGCTTTTTTTTTAAATTAAACTCTCATGAATTCGTAGTTATCATAACACACACTATCTGTTAATTTCTT